CTTACGTTAGATCCACCCCCCCTCTCCTGACAAATCCTGTACACGCCCCTCAGCAATAATAAAATCTTGGCAGAACCCTGCTGTATTTATCATCTATGTCGGCTCACATCAACAGACACTTGAACGTCTCAATAATAAAAAGTAATAAACACGAAAGTTATTTACTACCAAATAACTGAGTTAACTGGGATTTTGCCTATAATCACTTTAAATTGCTCAAATCTCAATCTCAAGGCTCCTAAAACAATTATATTTGTTTCTTGTCCTCTGACCGACCCACAATTTTTTGACCATTGGTCCATATTTTTTGACCATTTTCATAGTTAGACTGAAACACAAACATTTGGCAAACATAGGACAGACCAATGTGAAAAACTAATATGGAGCACTCGCAGCAGACCAAGTAACCTCTGAGGAATCCTGGTCCTGGTCAGTAGCCACTGTCCAGGATCTGCAAGCAAAGGGAAGACTCCCCCGATGGGGACGTTTTTATGGGGGGGATGGTGCAATTTGTGATGTGCATTCTTAAGTTCTTAAAATAATTTTTTACTACGTTCGATACACTGATAGTAGTAAATCGAACAATTCCAAATCAATCCAAAAAATCAATCAAATCAAATCAAAGATCTAATAAATCAAACGATCAAAAAATCAAAGATCACGGTCTCGATACCGCCCATTATCCGATAAATTATCATATTAATTACACCGGATCGCTGATATGCGGGATGCGCATAATTATCGAATTAGCGAGTTTAAAACAGCATGACCAGAAAATCGAACACGAACAAACATGAAGGTTTGTACTCAGATACTTTAGGCTTCCGGAATTACTATTTTATCATATTGATTAAATTAACCACATTGATTCATTAGAAAATTAGAAGTTAACAGACATAAAGAAATAACAGGCCACAATCTAAACCATTTTTGTTTGCCCTCACCCGACCTCAGGCTGAAAAGGTGGTGGCTTTTTTTGAGGGGTCTTTTTACAAATTCACAATGTGTCGACCGGTTCCAGGTTCTTGGTGGCATACCTTTATGTTGCCATACACATTTAATAAGTACATTGTACAGTGATACATATATACATATAAAATTTTTAAGCAACTGATTATCAAGCTAAATTTGCAAGATTTATTCCAGATCACGCACGCTACGCACATTACACTAAACATGTGGAAATAAAACATTTACAAATAAAAGTAACTTGAATTAAAAATAATAAATATCCTTCTTACACATAATTAGTCTTGAAAGAAAATAAATAACTCAAGTATATCCATAATTAAGTATTTAATACTCAATTATAATATAGGCGATTTCCAGGATTCGAAGTTTTGCTGCCAGTTTTGAACCAGCGACTTCCAGGGAAAGTTTTGCTGTCGCGAACTCTCAACCAGCGTGCCCGGCCATAAATATGTAATAATAACGGCACCTGCACCAAGCTGAAAGTGAAACAATCAATAAATGCAACTCACCCTCCCCCTACTTCAATCAGTGCCGCCACCACACAACGTACGCAGGCTGTCATCAATCTATACATATCGCCGCGTACATGCCGCAGCCTCCACATACGGAACTAAAAAAAACACATTCGAAAGGTCAATACAAATGTTTGTCGGCCACTTTTGGCGGTCGGTCGGTGAGGGCAACAAACAACATTTATATGGCCTCATTTGTAAATTTTTATTTCCTGGTCGCGATATCAGTCGCCCGCCCGACCCACTGACACAGCAACAGTCGCCCGGCGCGCGCCGTCGATTCTAAATCCCACAGGCGACTGGCGACCGCCTTGTTCTCCACGCCTGACAGGACTTAAATAACTATAATCTCACACAAAAGACCTACCTACCTACCCCACTAACACAAAATATCTGGTCGCGGGACAGCAAACATAGAATTTTAAGATGCCCAACACACAAACACTCAATCCTCAACGGCACCAGCTCTATACATAGGGCTTAGCCCCCGATCATGACTCTGCCGCACGCAGTAATGAACTCGGCTATAAACCCGAGCTCACCGCACCTCGCTCGCATCACTGACGACATAAATACATTCATACCTTTAGTACTATACATACTTTCATATATAGCTATACTACTGATATTATAATAATATACTATATATTTATGTGTCATGTCAGCACTAGCGTCGGCTCAACACACAAGTACACCGCACGCTAGCTCTAGTACTATAGCCCGCGTTCATTAACTGCCGCCTGCGGCAGTCAATGATCGCGGGCTATAGTACTAGAGCTAGCGTGCGGTGTACTTGTGTGTTGGGCCATCCTTAAAAAATTCTATGTTTGCTGTCCCCCGACCCATGATTTTTTTAGTGGGTAGGTAGGTAGGTCTTTTTTTTGTGTGAGGCATAATAGTTATTTTAAGTCTGTCCTCATGTTTGCCACACATGCTTTGTGTTGCAGTCTTAACTATGAAAAATGTCAAAAAAAAATGTCAACAAATATGAAACCCAAAATGTCAAAAAAAACTTTGTGGGTCGGTTAGAGGACAGCAAACATATAATTTTTTAAGGATGGCCTTGCAGATGAGCATTTGACCGGCATTTACAGGTGATTATAGGCGAAATACAGTAAACTCAGTTATTTGGTAGTAAATACATTTCGTGTTTATTTACCTTTTTTTATTATTGAGACGTTCCAAGTGCCTGTGATGTAGCCGACATAGATGCATAATACCAGCAGGGTTCTCCAAGCTTTTTCATTATAGCATGGCAGGGGCGTGTACAGGATTTGTACCAGGGGGGGGGGGTCTGGGGGCCCTCCCCATAAATTTTTTGAAATTAGACCCCCTTAAATGCATTTTCTGCGTGAGCAGGGGGTGTCCGGACCCCCCTCTGTACACGCCCCTGCATGGCGGGTGCTGCCTTTACGCCAATTACGGTCCTAGTTGCAAATCGCCGAAGGCAGTTTGCAGGCTAGGGGGGTCCGGGGGCTATGATATTTAGAGTGGCGGGTGCATTTTAGGATAGCGGGGCTCGACGATAGCCTGGCAGGGCTCTTGGAGAACTCTGACCAGGAGTAGATACTAATACTAATACTAATACTAGTAATAGTAATGCTTATACTAATACTAGTAATAGGGATCCTGATTATACAGTAATGCACTTCTTCTTTCGGTATTGACATTGTTACCACTGTATGCCCGTTTCTTGGGGCNGTGCACACACACACACGCACGCACGCACGCACGCACGCACGCACGCACGCACACGCGACGGACTCCGCACGGACTCCTGCTCGCACGAAGAATTCGAGAGCTAGAACAACGAACGACCGGGATGTTCAAGTGAACACACGCCCCAGCTGAACCATCGACCAGCAGTCGTAACTTCGTTGCGGAGCGGTTCCCACACAGCGAGTGCCGGCCCACACCGGCGCTGTCGATGTGTGTGGCTAAACAGAGTAAGAGAGACGATAAGCAGGAGAGGAGCAACAGGTCGTGTGTGAAACTAACGACATGGCATAGTGAGAAGCCTACCACACAGTTGTTTCATGATCACGCACACGCACCGCACGCATGCACCGCACACACACACACTTTCTTTCTCTCGCTCTATTTCTCTCTCCCACTCTCTCTCTCTCTCTCTATCTCTGTCTCTGTCTCTCTCGCTCTCTTTCTATCTCCATCTCATTCTCTCTCTCTATCTCTCTCTCTCTCTCTCTCTCTCTCTCTCTCTCTCTCTCTCTCT